AGTGGAGGGAGGAGGGCTAGGTCCTGTTTCTGCAATCAACTGGTACCTTCTCTGTTTCAGGTGGACGTGGCTGCCTTAGGGCTTCTGAGCCTTGGCCTCAGCAAGGGGGACCGGCTTGGCATGTGGGGCCCTAACTCCTATGAATGGGTGTTGATGCAACTGGCCACTGCACAAGCTGGCATCATCCTGGTGAGGAAGGGGCATAGCCAGGATGAGTGTCCTGGAGGGGAGGAGGAAGCCTGAGGGTGGAATGGAGAGTCCCCAAGGTTGGGAGAGCTCCAATAAAAGCAACATTTGGCGCAGCCTGGAGAGCCCTCAACTGGGAGACCTAGATTCAAATCCAAGATCTGAATTGGATTTGCTGTGTGACCTTGGGCAAGTCCCTTTTCTTCTCTGGGCTTTAGCCTCCTCTTCTCTAAAGTGAGGCAATTGGACTAGATGCTCTCTCAGGTTCCTTTGAGCCCTAACATTATGTGATCATGTGATTACATTGCTGGGTATGAGACTTCACTTGTGGTTACAGGTCTCAGACTTTGTTCTGGGTCTGGCCACTTTAACACAAAAGGGTTCACAGGTTGAAGATCCAGGTGCTCTCTCTGGGAGCACAGGAGGGCAAGGGAAGGATGAAATTCCTTTCCTGAGCACCATGGAGAGTGAGCAATCTGTGTCTTTGCTTGGGGAAGGCTGGGGGCAGGCAGTTGTTGTACCTGGTACAATGGGTAACATTTCTGGGTTGTCTTCTCACCAGATTTCTGTGAACCCTGCCTACCAGTCTCAAGAGCTAAAGTTTGTTCTAGAAAAGGTACAAGCCCCTTGGGGATGGTGGCAGGGGTAGCTCCCTGGGAGTGAGGAGGGGGCAAGGATAGGTGCAGAGGAAGGCTCTCTGGCTATGATCCCTGCTCCTGAAGCAGAGGAGCATGGGGGATCTCAGCTGGTGCCAGTGTCTCATTGGGAAAAGCTGTGCCCTAAGTCCATTGCTGCCTTCAGACCTCATGGAGTAATTTGGAAGGAGTAGCAGGTACCCTCTTTTTAGTCTGGTAAGTAGAAAGTGGGAGTGGGGAATCCAGTCTCAAGGAAGCAGCCACGGTTTGGAGTGGAAAGGACTGAAAGTCAAAGGGCCTGGCTTTGAATCTTTGTTGTTTACTCTCTGGGAGACCTTGGGCAAGTTACTGGCCCCCATGGGCCTCAGTTACGTAAAGTGAAGAGATTGAAATAGATGATCATTAAAACTAATTCCTGTCCTGCATTCTGTGAGCCTCTCCTGAAGGGTTGGGAGGTGAAAAACATGACTGAGCCACTTGGGTAGCCCTGTGGGGTAGGAGTAAGACTTGACTGGGTGGCAGCTGGCTAGGGGCATGGAGGTTGTTTATGGTATAGGGGAAGGGTTTATGAGGAAGTTATACCTACAGAGCACCCTTCAAGGATGCCCTCTACCACGGGGTAACCCTGGCACCAAACCTAGGGTTTCCCAGGGGCTCAGCATGATGTGGATATGGGGTTTTATCTCCTCAGGTGGGCTGCAAAGCCCTTGTCTTCCCCACCAAGTTCAAGACACAGAATTATTATAACATTCTGAAGGAGATCTGCCCAGAGCTGGAGACGTGCAGCCCAGGGGCATTAAGGAGTAAGAAGTAGGTGTAGTATAGGAGATGGAAAGGATGGGGTTGGGTGGGAGAGAGGATGGGAAGTTTGTTGGTCCCTAACACTGATCCCAGGCTCCAAGGCAAGTCAACCCCATTCCTCCTGAGCCTTTCATCCCACAAGGAATGGGGCTGGTGAGTCTTCTGTGGCCCCCTCCCTCCCCAGGATCACCAGAATTTCACTGCTCCTCCCTTACCCTCCCCTGGCTCAGGCTTCCAGACCTGACCACAGTCATCATCCTGGACTCCAAATTGCCTGGAACTCTACACATGAATGATGTACTACAGGCTGGGAAAGCTGCCCAGCTGGCCCAGCTGAGGGACATCCAGAGATCATTGTCCTGCCATGACCCCATCAACATCCAGTTCACCTCGGTAAGATAAAGGTTTGGGGGGCACAAGCCCAGTGCCTCCCAGTCCCAGGCATATGGTCTTTGCTTAGGACTACTTTCCTGGTGACCAGGAGATCAAGGAATCAGGTAGTGGGCATTGCCCCCTTGCCAGGCAACCAGAAAAAATGTCCTGGGGCTTGGATCACTTCTACTCTTACCCACCCTCCCCAGAAAAGATGTAGACAGTGCTGCTCTTCCTCTGAAATGCAGACCCACTCTGTTGCCTTCTGGGGAGGCCCTATGCACGGCATGGGGGTGCCATTCTGGGAAAATCCTTCCTCATCTCTGGGATATCCAGGCTGACAAGACTTTTGTGTTGCTAGGGGACAACCGGCAGCCCTAAAGGAGCCACACTTTCTCACCACAACATTGTTAACAATGCCAACATGATAGGGGATCGGATGAATCTTAGCAACAAGGTAAAGAGTGGGAAGGAGAGGGGAATGGAGAAGAAATGAGGGAGCTTTTTAGTCTTTGGTAGTGGAGGTCTGAAAGCAATATTTGGGGCAATTAGGAGGAGGAAAGGTGAGGAAGTCAACGGGGCAGGTTACAAAGAATACTGGCTTTGGAGTCAGGGGTCCTGGATTCAGATCTCAACGTTATTGCTTGTGTCCAAGTCACTTAATCTACCTTGCCTCAATTTCCTCATCTGGGTTGGAGTAAATTACCCCTATGGTGCCTTCTGGCTCTCATACCTATGACTGTAGGATGGAATTGAGCAGTATCCTTCTAACAAAAGGGAGAAGTTTCTAAGTGGTTAGTCCTAGTCCTGGGCCCTGGGGCCTAATCTCACTCTTCTGTCTATCTGGGACTCCAGGAGACCCGGCTGGTCGTTCCTAGCCCCCTCTACCATTGCCTGGGCTCTGTGGGGGGCACGATGGTGTCCTTAATGTATGGTGTCACTCTCATCTTGTCATCTCCGAGTTTTGAGAGCAAGAGGGCTCTGGAAGCTATCACTCAAGAGAGGTGGGCATCTGAGGCCTCCATTTCCTACCCCATGACCCATCCTTAGAGCAGATATGGTCTCCTTTCCCACTGGACCTATTTACTGGAGTCTCTCTGGCTCCTTATACCAGCTAATTCCTGCCCTGTCTTCCCTGGGATTTACTTCTTCACCAAGGGGCCCAGGCTTGATGTGGGAGGGGACTTAAAGAGGGGTCCAACCTTGAGCATCCAATATTCCCTATCCTTCACCCATAGTCAGGCATAGTGACCCTTTTTCCCTCTTAACAAACAGCTTTGGCACTGGGGTTCTGTATATTTCTGGTCATTTTAGAGAGCTAGAGAGAGGGATAGGGAAAATGAAGGGGAGGGTACCCCAACTTTCAGGCCTGATTCTAAGGGTCATCCCCCTATACAGGGCCACAATGATCTATGGCACCCCTACGATGTTTGTTGACATGCTGAACCAACCTGATTTTTCCTGCTATGACCTTTCGACCCTGCGAGGAGGTTGGGGGTGGGGGCCAAGGGTTGGAGGGTGCAGGGGTTGGGATAGCCTTATCCTTCTTGCTTCAGGGAGGGAGGGATAGTAGGGAAAACAACTATTACCCAGAACCTCTTTCCCCAAACCCTGGGAAGTGGATGGTGCACAAATGTGGGGAAGGGTCCTGGGTCCCTTCTTTCCCTGGGATCCAGTCCAGTAATAGTCCACTGTGTGGTATGTAGAATGTTATGGATGATAGACAGGTGCAGGGTTTGATGGGGGAGTGGGAGGAGGGAAGAGGAGGGGCTGAGTTGAAAGTGAGTACTGTCTCTGATTCAGGTGTGATTGCAGGGGCCCCAGCCCCCCCCGAGCTCATCAGAGCCATCATCAAGAAGATGAATATGCCAGAATTGATGGTGAGCTTTTCCAGGCAGGGATGAGATCCCTTGGGTTCTGGAATCTTCAATAAGGACTTTGTAGGTGGGTGAGTGGGTGGCTAGACCAGGGCTGAGAGCAGACCTGCTGGGCAAAGGGTAGTGGCTGGAGGGTGGAGTAGCAACCAGGGAGATAAGGGGAAGATGGGCTATGTCTTCATATCCAATGCTTGAACCGGAAAACAGACATAAGGAAAAATACAGTTTGCTCTCTGCAGAGGATGGGAAAGTCACTGACACAGGTGAGAGATAAATAAATATTATACATATATATTTATATAAATCTAGAAGGGAGAGAAATATAACATAGGGAGGGCCAGGTCAGCAAAGCACAGGTATCCTGCTGGAGATTCCCGAGGGCAGGACCAAGGGGGAAGAGGCTCTCTCTCCATGGTAGGGCTGTAAAGAATTAAGGGTGAACCCTTTGGGTGGGGTGTGAATGGGGAGAAATAGGATTTCTGCTTTCTAATTTCAGAGGACAAGTGATAAGGGAAGGAAGGTGATAAATGTATGGGCTGGTCATCCTGACCTTGGGCTATCTCTCTATCAGGAATAATCTGGGATGGAAAGTGGAACTGATGGTTGTTGAAGAACTCTCTGGCCCAGCAGGCCATCCCACCCAAGTATCCAGGGGCTAGATAGGTCTCTATCAGTATAGGGGGTAGGAGGAGAGGATGGAGTTGACTGGGAGTAGAGAGAGGAATCGGTACAAAGAGGCTAGTCACTGGGACTGGCTAGAACAGAACCTGATGAGAGATGAGGAGCTAGGATGAAAGTAAACAGGGACCCAGGATAGAGAGTAAGACAAAAAATAGGGAGTCCTTAGAGAACTGTGCCAGAAGTGGAACCCTCCCCAGAGAGACCCTCCAAGGATAGACCCTCCCTTTCCCCTAGAAAGAGAGGGTTACCTATCCTTGAGCTAATCCCTTTGTCCAATGGGCTGGTCACCCTTTGGTATCTTGGGTCACATTTCCCATTCTCTTCTCTCCCACTGGACCCAGGTCCTCCAACCCCCTCAGTCCCTGCTGCCTAATGATAGAAGTGAGTGAGAGAGAGGGCCTTCTCACTAACCCATGCCCAGCTCCACTCCCTCCCGATGCTTTATTACCTGTTTAATGGCGGCTGGCTTTCTTAGATCTCTTGGTGGGGAATTTGCAGCCTCGGAAGGCTGCCGTCTCCCGGATGTGCTGACCTCGGAACTTAGTGGGAGATATACATGTTGCATCGGGGCGTGAAGCCTTGGCCTCCAGCCACCTGGCGGGGCAGAGAGAGTTGGTAGGGGCCAGAACTAGAGGGTGCTGGCCTGCATGAGTGTTTCAAGATGCTAGGACACACCTACTTGGACCTTGTAGGTGTAGAAATAGGGGAGGGGAGAGTCAATTTTCTGCTCTAGGGAAAGAGAGCAGATGAGTGGGAAGATCTACTCCTGAAGGCAAAGTTTCCCCCTCTAATCTACTTTTCTCCTACTGAGGGTCAAGGGAGAGAAGTCAGTTTCCCTTATTTCCATCCCACCTTCCCCTGAGCCAAGGCAGGAGTTTCATGCCTACCCCCCAGGCCAGGAAGTGGAGGCAGGGTCTCATCTAATCTCTAATATTTAGGGGCAAGCTTCACCTTCGAAGGCCATGGAGCTGGCACGTACACTTCCAAGGATTGTTGCTCAGGGTCAGTGTCTCCAAACCATCAAAAGGGAAATTAGAGGGCAGCTGGCTCAACCTGTTGTTCTCCAGGTGGACATGTTTTAGGGTGGTCACACCCAAGAAAGCACCATCAGAGAACTGAAGGGAAAGATAGACAGTGGTTATTTGTTTTGTTTTGCTAGGCAATTGGGTTAAATGACTTGCCCAGAGTCACACAGCTAGTAACTGTTGTGTGTCTGAAGTCGGATTTGAACTCAGGTCCTCCTGACTCCAGGGCCTGTGCTCTATCCACTGTGCCACCTAGCTGCCCCGACAGTGGTTATTTGAATCTGGTCCCCTGATCTTCATTTTCTTTTTTTTTTTCTCAAAGTCCTTAGCTGTGGAGTATGGCTTTTCCACCCTTTATTCCCACCCCTTATTGGCTTTGAGATTGGAATAATTTCCTACCACTACCTTGTGGCTCAATGCCAAAGGGCATGGAGTTGGGAGGAAGGGCAAGGAAGCAAACAGATTTTGTGCCCAAATTTCCAGGGCTTTTGAATGAAAAACCTAGGAACTACTCTGTGGTAATAGGAAAGGGAACCACTATATACACACATTTGAGATTTCCTCTGTTACTTGATATAGATTTTGTCTGGGTCTGAGAACTCATGTCCTGGGCTGGACTATCTTCTTGGCAACCCTCTCTAACCTAGCTGCTGTTTCCTGTTCCCAAGCTAATGTTGCCAAAGGCCTCAGACTCTTTGGAGACGTGGAAATGTCAAAATCCTCCTATATGAATGAGCTGCCCACATTTCACTCTTGCACAGAGGGGGAGCATAGGGAGGGAGCTTAGGCTTGAGGGGAGGAGGTGGAATCCAGACAAGGGGCATTAGGGGGCTTTTGAGGACCAGCAACCATTTCCACTAGCCAAAAAGCTGCACTATCAGCTAGCTGCAATGGATACCCTATCTCCAAGGCTGGAAGCCCCATCCAGACCCCTCTCTCTCCCTTCTACCACGTCTCACAGTATTTCCAGCTCCTCCCCCATCTGTTGTTAGTGTTGGAGTTTAGGACATTGCTGGCACTGAGACTTGTTCTGTTTAAAGCCCTCTCCATCTGTCCTGATGCCTTTGCTTCCTCCACCCTGATGCTTTCACCAGGCAGGGCTGGCACCAATCCCCAGCCTCTTTACCCAGTCCTCCTGGCCCCAGACTGATTTTCCACTGTTGCAAAGAGGGAACCCTTCCCTGTGCCTACAGGGCTCTTGGAGGTCTGGCCAAAGCACTTCATAGGTGTCAGATTGGCCAAAGCAGGGACATATCTCCTTGATTCCCAAGGCTTGGGGACAACTGAGCATTTAGCTTTTACCACTGTCCCCAATTTTGTGCCCTGGGCCTCAAGTGGGTGAAGGTGAAGGGCAGAAGGCTCACAAGAACATAGTATCTTAAAGCAGGAAGGGCCATCTAGTTCAGAAGGGTTTTCATTAGAGGAAGGGAGTTTTCCAAGGAGGGTTACAGTCAGTGCTAAAGGAAACTGAGGCAAATCCAGAGGCTTAGGGGCAATAAGCATGGTATAATTGGAAATAACATTGGATCTGGAGTGAGAAAAGGTACCTCAGTTCAGACTTTCCCTCTTACACTTATACTAGCTAGGCAAGTCAATCTGTCTGAATCTCAGTTTTCTCATCTGTAAAACAGCATAATAATGTTTATTCCCACAGAATCAAGAATTGTTGTGAGGATCAGTTGAGATAATATTGGAACTATTATTGTTGTTGTTGTTGTCATAAATCTCTAGCGGGTATACTGAAAGAATGCTGGATACGAAAGCAGGGGAGTCGAATTCAAATCCTGGGCGTCAGTTTCTTCAACTGTGAAATGAAAGAGTTGGACTAGATGACCTCGGAAGTCCCTTCCATCCCCAAATAGATGGATGATTATGGGTTCCCAGACTCCACATGCCAAGGGTTGAGTAGATGATGGTGTTTGGACTCCCTGGGGTACTGAAAACAAAGTGCCTGAAACTTTTGGGGGTGGAGTAGGGATTCCATGCCCTGACAGCCCCAATTATGGGAAAGTAGACATGTGAAAAATCATTGAATTCTGTAGGGCAGAGGGAGATCTGCTCAGAAAAGTGCTGCTCTGGAGTCCAGGGGCTTTTTAGAGGCAAAGGAAATGTCTACTCAGCACTTGTGCTCCCACTTTGGTTTTGCAGAGCAGGGATTCTGTTGTCTTGTCTCAGCCTCCCTGCCCTTTCCCTTCCCTCCCCATCCCACTCACCACAGCCCCACCGACACACACACACACACACACACACACACACACACACACACACACACACACACACACACCCGCCCACAAGGAACAGGGTCTCTTTGTGGAATTGACTCAGACTAGGTTCTGCAGGAGGGCTCATCAATAAACAAACCTCCCTTTATGGGGTTTTACAGGAGAAGGGGGGTGGGTGGGAGAGAAACCAGAGAGGGAAGGTTTCTCACCAAGCTCCAACTGGAAAGGGCAGCCAATTGTGGAAGAGGGTTTGGGGTGGTGTGGGTACCACCTCAGGCTGGTTCCCAAACTTTTTATAAGCAAGAGTCCTTGGACAGAAATGCCCAAGAACTAAGAGTCCTGGACAAAGTGAGGGTAGAAAAGAAGAAGTCCCTGGCTGGGATGTCACCTTTCCCATAGGTACTACGATGCCAGCCTAGGAGATGGATACAGGGTAGAGTGGAACTATGGGACAGAGGGTGAGAAGGGATCCTGTACCCTAGATTACACTGCCCATTGACTTGGTATCCCAGGGAAGAGATTTTATGTCCCAACACCCTCCAAGGGGAGAATGAGGATGGGCAAAAGGGCTTGCTCACCTTCTCCAGGTTCATGTTGTCCAGGATGAGGGTCTCCAAATATCGTCCAAAAGACTGGAAGGCTTGGTCTGGGATGACTTTAAGTGGGTTGTGAGACAATTTTAATTCCTCCACCACTCTCAGCTTGCTCAGGGCAGCAGTGGGGTAAGTGGACAATTGATTCTTGTCCAGGTGGAATTTCGCAAGGTTCTCCACGTCGTCCAAGGCTCCAGGCTGCAGGGTGTTCAGGGCATTGTCCGACAGGTAGAGCCAGCGCAGGTCCTTGGCGCCCTGGAAGGCCCCTGGGCGCAGCTCTCGAATCTTGTTGCTGCTCAGTTGAAGGATGAAGAGGTTGACTAGAGGGGAGAGCAATCCCCGAGGCAGTTCGCTCACCTTGTTGTGGTCCAGGTAGAGGTAGGTGAGCTCGCTGAGGTCGTCAAAGGCGCCGTTGCGCAACACCCGAATGTCATTGTTGGACAGGTACAGATAGATGAGCTGCTTGAGACCTCGGAAAGCGCCGGCGGCCACTTCGCGCACCTGGCAGTGCTGGAGATGCAGGGAGACCAGGGCCGGGGTGGCTTTGAAGGAATTAGCCGCCAGCACCGGGAAGTTGTTGCGCTGCAAGTTCAGCAGCCGGGTCTTCTCAGACACCTTGGGGATCTTGCGCAGCCCCACGTTGTCGCAGATGACATGCTGTAGGTCCCCGCCGTGGCAGTGGCAGTTCTGGGGGCAGGCCTGCAGGGAAGGCAGGAGGCCGACTAGCAGCAGGCAGAAGCCAGCCAGGTGAGCTAAGGGAGCCATGGTCATTGAAGTGCGAGAACCGAGGGATAAACTGGTGGAGCTGAGTCCTGCAATCAGTTGAGGTCCCCGCCCTATATATGCAGGATCCCAGACCGCAGACGGCATCAGGAGCCAACTTCCTACGTGGAGCTGTCGAGGCTTAACCCCCTCGCGTCTGGAGATGCGTCTCCTCCCAGGATAGGGGGGAGCCCCAAGGGCTGTGCCCAACTGTCCTGGCTCAGTTCATCTCTGAACCCCTTTCCTTTGCCTTTTCTCTTTCCTATCCCACCCTTCAACAGAGCTGGCAGTATGCCTCTTACTGGACGGGCTGGGGGTGGGATGCGACGGGTCCTAGATGCCTCTTAACGGACCCCAGATTCCTTCCTCTCTAGATCCTTCCCTAGGTGAATCCTGAGTCAGGACCTGCTGGAAGGACGCAGATAGTGGGAAGGTGCCGGGATGTGTGTATGGGTCCGAGTCTGGGGTTGGAGAAAGGGGTGCGGCCAAAGGGCTTGTATTTCTGGGACTTTTCCTGAAGTTTGAGATCCACCCCAACCCTCCCCATCCCTCCTCTCCCTCCTTCTCCTGCCTAGTCCCCTGGGCCTTGCCTGGCGCCTAAGACCCTGCAGGGATTGCCGTCGGACCTAGTGGTTCTTAGCTGCCCACTAGGGCACTCAGCATTAATAGAGCCCTTGTGCCGCCCAGACAGAACGTGAGAGTGGCTCCAGTGTCCAGCTCCCCAGCTATCCTGGGGCGGGGCAAACCCCAGAGTCTGCCGCACCCTTTGGGCAGCCAAACTCTGCAGATGGTTCTCTGCCCTCCCCTTGAATCCCTCCCCTCCAGTTTGTACCTTTCCCAACTGCTTGCGGCTATAGCCACTTTTTCCAACAGCTGGATTTGGAAAAGCAGGAACCCCAGGGCTTGTTTGCATATGCAGATGGGCACACACAGGGCAGGTCAATACTAATGACAGCTACTCATGTGCAGAAAGACACAAATAAGGACTTCCACATCCACCACCCATCCCACCACAGTGTGCAAATAAACTAGAAATAAGGGAGCCTTGAGGTGCTTAGCCCCCAAGCCAGCGAACGCTTTTCACTGCCACATCCTAAACCTAATCCTGGGATCTCTGTTTCCACCGGGTTCTTTCTCAAGGTGTCTGGTCAGCGGGGGAGCGACCCTGCTTTCATTCCAGACAATGCCCACCTGAATCCTGGTTTCTGACCAGTACTAGGCTATCTGTTGATGGGAAGGAATACTGGAGGTGGGGGAGAGCGTAGAGTCTCTCCTCAAGGTTATTTCCTGGGGAGCCTAGAAGTGATTAACAAGAATCGGACTGGGTCAGGCAGAGGGATGCTGGGTTGCGCTTGGGATGTGAAAGATGCCCCCTACTCACCCTCCCCAATTCCCTGCCAGTCCCCAAGATCTCCCTGTGCTTTGCCAGCCCTGTGTCCGGATTCCTGCGGGCAGGGGGAGAGACTGTCGTGTGTGTGTGTGTGTGTGTGTGTGTGTGTGTGTGTGTGTGTGTGTGTGTGTGTGTGTGTGTGTGTGTGTGTAGGGTGTTGATGGTCAGCGGATCCGGCTCCAGGCCAAGCTCCTGACTGGTGGGGGTGAGGGCACAGCCAGGGAGGGGGTGGAGAAGGAAGGAGCCCAGGCATGGAGGTCTGGCCAGGTCCCGGTGGTGCCCACTGTATGCCAGCCGCTGGGCAGGGGGGGGGGGCAGACTTCAGCAACAAAGGGCCTGGTGTCTCAGCACTCGTCTGGGGAGGTGCCCAATGCGAGGAGGTGGAGGGTATCTAGAAGTGTGGGAAACCCAGTCTCCTAGTCCTGTACCCAGCATCTAGGTGTGTAGTCCTGCTCTTTTGGACCCCGTGCTTCCCCTTCTGGCAACTTAGTCTCTTCTCCTGTCCTCCACCCTCAAATTCCCCAACTCCAGATAGCGGAACTTTCCCTGTCCCTCTTTTCGTCTTGTGTGCCAGGTCTGGTTTCTGGTTTTTCTATTTTCCCCCACTGTTCTGGCTCCTCCCGAGCAGGAGCAGGAGACGGCTGGGGTACTGAGATTCTTAATATCCTCGTTTTGGATATTTATTTAATTTTTATGATCCTGAATTCACAGGAAACTGCTAACTTTCCAGGGCTCTGGAGCTGTCCAGGGCAGGGGCCCTCCACCCCAGGGCTCTTTGGCCAGGGTAAAGCTGGGGTAGAGGTGTGTCTCTTGGTCTGTTCCCAGGTCCTGTCCCCCAACATCACCCCCCTCACACACACAAACACACCCCACATACACTCCAATCAAGAACGAGGCTGGTTTTCTCATCAGGTTTTATTGACGTCTTTGGAGTTTGTGAAGGGGGAGGCACTGTGGCCGGAAACCAGCAAGGGGGGTAGGGAACTGAGAGGCAGTGGGTGAGAGGTATGCCCCTGAGATGATGGGACTGTGGCTACTGTGGGTAAATAAGGAAACTGAGGGATTGAACCAAGGGGATCAGAGGCTGTTTAAGGTTGTCTGGGACTCCCGCTCAATAGGTTTAATAAATACCTAGCCCCTTTGTCTCCATGACTTATTATTATTTCACTTTTCTTTCTGCCCCCTTTCTGCCCCCTCTATCCTTTGCCTCTTATGAGGAACTTAAAAAGGAATATGTCACCTCCCACTACCACCACACACCTCTCCATAACCCTTAATCTTCCCAAGATACCCCTCCCTCAATTCAGTTCCATTTCCCAACTCTGTAGGTTGCTTATGGGACCACAGAGAACAGTCCTGTGACCTTCATGAATTCCTATGATGACAGCATAGAAAGGAAGACATTGACAGTGGGCAGGATTATGCCCCACACAGAGGTGAGCACTTTAATTCATAGGATCATGTATCTAGAGCTAGAAGGACCCTTAGAAGCCACCTAGTCCAAATCCCTCATTTTATATTTGAGGAAACTGAGGTATAGGGAAGATAAATGACTTGCCCAAAGTCACAAAGGTAAGTGACACAGCTTGGATTTGAACTTGGGTCTTCTGGCCTCAAATCCAGCACTCCTTCCAATATACTAAACTATTTTCTCCTGTTAGGGTCAGGCCTCCAGTCCACCACACCAATTTCAGCCCTACTCAAACCCAAACAATTCCATCCCCCCAGTTCCCCATACCCTCATCTGTTGACCAATGAATAGAAGCTCTCTCATACAAACACCCCTCCTCCCTTACAAAATAAAATAACCCCAGCCAATTTCATTTGGTCACCGAGAAAAACCCACTTCCAGAAACTTCCTGAGCTTGGAAGAATGTTCCCATGTAATTGAAGATGGGCTCTGTTTATCTTCCTCTTCAAGCCTGGGATCAGTGACCAGTCCTGAGAGAGTTAGACTAGGGCCAGCCAAAAACATATGTGGGCTAGGCTTATTGGCCTCCCTCCCTGTTTCAGACATGTTATTGGCAGGTTTTTTGTTATTGAATTGTTTCAGTTGTGTCCAACTCTTCATGACCCCATTTGGGATTTGCTTGGCAAAGATACTGGAGTGATTTGCCATTTTGTTCTACAGCTCATTTAACACATGAGGAAACTGAGGCAAAGAGGGTTAAGTGACTTGCTCAGGGTCACACAGTTAGTAAGTGTCTGAGGCTGGATTGGAACTCAGGAACACGAGTCTTCCTGACTCCAAACCTGGTACTCTATCCCGCTTTACCACCTAGCTGCCCTGTTGCCAATTTACCTATAACTTGAACTGCAGCCATCCAGTCTCATTCAAAGAAGCAAAAGAAATGATGAGACTGTCTTTAATTTGACTCTTCAGCCTTTCCCCCATCTTTGGCTCTTTCCTTTCACTGCTATTCCTTTCACTTCCCCGAAGCTCTTCATCTTTGACTGGCATGCAAACTTTACTAATGCCTTATAGCACCTGAGGGCTACTCCCACCCCAAATTATTCCCTCAGGTAATTCATTAAGGTCACAGCTGCTCTTTTCCCAAAGCCACTTCTACAGAAGTCCTTTGCTAAAGATGAAAAGTTTGCCTTTCTTCATAGCTTGTAGTTGATATCTTATGTACTTTGGGCTTTTCCTTTATTTTGGGGTCATCTGAAAGAGTGGTTTGCAACACTAGTAGATTATCGACATCATCGTGTCACTGCTAACATTTGTAGAACACTGCAAAGTCTGTAAGACTCTATGCAATTTATCTCATATGAGCCTCACAATAAACCCTGGGAGGTAGGTGCCAACTTTCTCCACTTCACAGTTAATCAAACCCAAAGGTCAGAAAAGTAAAGCAAATTGCCCATAGGCACACTTCCAGTAAATGTCTGAGGTGGGATTCCAACCCAGGTCTTCCACTGACTCAAAGTTCAGCACTTTATCCACTACTTTTCTCAAATAACCTGTGTACCCTTCATCACAGGGGTACAGCAAGTAATTCAATCCAGGCTTTTCATAGGCATTTTTTGGAGTAGATTTAAGATGAAATTCCTCTACTAATCCAAATTGACACCTGAAACTTAAAGTCTTAAAGAATTGCCCATAACACTGAGTAGTTAAGTGACTTGCTCAGGGGACTCACAACCAATATGTGTCAGGAATAAACTTGAACTCGGACCTTGCTGGCTCTGAAGGTCATTCTCTATAGCATGGTGTCCTGTCATCTTCTGTATTGTAGGTGCTTAATAAATGTTTGTTTAATGATGACTATGCCACTTCCCATTGATGCAATGAAAGAAAGAACAACCATTTATTAATCATTTACTATGTACCAAGCACTATGCTAAACACTTTACTGATATCTCATTTTCTTAACACTTTTAACTCTTTTTGAAATAGTAGTTTAGATGGATAGAGACAGGAAGGTTTGAATTTGAATCTTACCTCAAACACTAGTTGTGTGAACCCTGGATAAGTCACTTAATTTATATGGACTTCAAGCAGCTCCTTCGGATTTATGGTGGAGAGGGTTCCCGCAGCTGGCCTTCCCTATCCTGGATGGGTTTGTAATACTTTATAGTGCTTTCATACCCATTTTCACAGTGGATCCTCACACAGTCTCTGTGAAGCAAGTAAGGGAGGTAACTCTTTTTATACAGATGAGGAAACTGAGGTATAGAGCAATTCTAATTGGGTATTATTTGATATTCTAGTGAAGCCTATGAGCCCCTTCTCTGAAAAAATGTTTGAAATGTAAAAAATCAGATTACAAAGAAAGCTGATTATATTGAAGTCGTTCTCTCTAAATATATATGTATACATACAACACACACACACACACACACACACACACACACACACACATATATATATTCAGTTGTGTTTGATTCTTTGTGACCCCATTTGGGCAAAGATACTGAGTAGTTTGCCATTTCCTTCTCCAGCTCATTTTATAGTTGTGGAAACTGAGGCAAATAGAATTAAGTGACTTGCCCAGAGTCACACAGCTAGTGTCTGAGACCAGATTTGAACTCATGAAGATGAATCTTACTGATTCCAAGCCCAGTGCTCTATCCACTAGGCCACTTAGCTACTATATATGTATCTATAAACATGTGGATATAGATGTATGTATATGCACACATATATGTATATGTGTATATATATACACATATATATTTATACACACACATATATATATATATATATAGTTCATGGACCCCAGGTAAAGAATCCCTAGCTTAGTGGTAGTTTAATACTTTATAAGGGAGACACCTAGATTGTGCAGTGGAGAGAATGCTGGCTCTGGAGTCAGAAAGATCTGAGTTCAAATTCAGCTTCAGACACTTATTATCTAGAAGATCCTGAGCTATTTGCCTCAAGTTCTTTACCTGTAAAATGGGGATAATAATATCTGTACCTTCCAGTATTGTTGTATCAGATGAGATATTTATAAAGTGATTTGCAAACCAAACCTTAAAGTGCTGTGTCAATTCTAATTATTATTAAAGAACTCTCCCTTATTGTTTGCTTTTTCTTCTCAAATTTTTTTTTTTGCTTCCTCAGGGTCTCTTCTATGCATTCTCCTATCTACTTTTACTCCCCTAGGCCTTTAACACCTTCTGGCCTAGGCTGGCACTATCCTTTCTCCTCTGTCTTTGGCCACTCTAGCCTCAGCTCAGTCCTCCGGTCTTCCCTCCTACAGTGAAGTGGGGCTTCTGCCCATTCTTTGATCATAAACTCAGTTCAGTTTGCTCTCCCCCATACCTTGTCATGCTCACTTGGCCAGGCCCTCCCAGCCCTGAATAAGTTGGGGTTGGGGAGGGCCTGGCCTGAAGTTGTGCTATGCCAGGCCCAGGTCATGGACCCAAAGACAAAGAAACAGCTAGAGATAAACATGCCAGGGGAGCTGTGTATCCGTGGTTACTGTGTCATGATGGGTTACTGGGATGATCCTGAGAAGACAGATGCCACCATTGATGAGGACAAGTGGTACTGGACAGGGTAAGAGGACGTAAGGCGTTAAACCCAAGAACCAGGGGAGAAGATCTGGATTGCAAAGGGAGAGGAGTGGGTCTGTTGAAAGGAGAAGGAAGAAAAAGGGCTAGG